TTCCAATATCTCTCAATTCTGTCCTGAGTCTTGTCTCGTTTGTCCCGTATAAAAATGAAGCATCAATAAATGATGTTGCACCATTTACACCTTGACGATTCACAAGATCGGACCTGGTGAACGGTAATGATGTCTGTGTTGTTGTCATGTGAGAATTGTGATAATTGTGAGAGGTGATAATAATGAATATATTGAATAATCACAAATACCAATAATTAAAATACTTGATTGATGGAATAATCAGTAATTGGATCAGAAAGGTAAGTTGTGTCGTCACTGGGAATTATAATACCATTGGCGAATGCTTCTCCTGCAGCTTTAGCATTGGCTATATCAAATCCTACCATTTGTCCCCAAAATGTAGCCTTAACGTATTAATAATAAAAAAATAGACTTAGCGGGGGAGGGGTTTTTTAAAAAAAAAAACTTGATAAAATTAAATAATATATTACCATATGAGAAACTTTTCTACTGCTCTTAAACGAGTTTATAATTTCCCAATTAAATTTATCTTGAACTTTAGTTTGATAACCATTATGAATATCGCTTATACATCTTGGTAAAGGATAATTATTAAAAGGTAAAGGGTCTGAACATTTAATGGTAGTACCAGCGGGAAGAGGATTATAGTCTCCAGGTGAAGGTATCATTGAATCTTGAATTGAGAAAAAAGATTTATGAGTGGGAACTTCACGTAGATAAGGTGAACCAAATGAACCAGCTTTTGGATTATTCAAATTATTATTTGTTCCATCAAGATTTGAATATTCAATAGCTGATATTAGTGAAGAAAGTAAGAAGAAAAAGAAAAGGTTGTTGAATAAAAACTTTTTCATTTTTTTAAATTTTTTAACATTTCACATTAAAAAGAAAATTTCAAAAAGGTTTATTTATTTATTTGTTACAAATTACATTTATTTTATAGATGAAAAAAAATGTAAAAAGTACAATTGATCATCGAATGTTTATGATAAATAATAAATATTGTTGGATAAATAATAAATATTGTTTGTTGTTGTGAAAGAGTTGATAATAAAATTGATAAAAAGTAAACGTAGTGAAGTATTTCTTTTTAATCCACGGGCCAAATTCTAAAGTTCTTTATTT